CCACAAATTAAACGCTTGTGGACGGCTACCACACCAATTTCTTACCGTTTTGACCAGAGGTTGTTAAAACCAGGTTTTCACCCGTGGATAACCCGTAAAAAAGTGTAGACGCGTAGAAAACCCATAGATACCCCGGAGATACACCGTAATTCCCCGTAGAACTCTACGTAATACTACGTAATCTGAGCGTAATTTGAAAAGTCCATTTTGTAGGGAATTTCACGAAATTTGCTTTTTTTTACCAATTCTGGTGGGTGAAAGCTGTGGTTTGTAAACCTTCCGGCCAAACATTGCAATTTACATTAGCGCGACCAAGCTTCATGAGCTTTAAAAAGGAATATGCGCCTTTTATTGGCACTAGAATTCCACATTGCAAGTTGAGATTCTTAATGGGCATGTCAATATATATCAGCAATTTTTGTTATCATATATGTTTGATAAATTTATGTTTCATGATCATGCAGGCAACAAGTGGATCGAACTTTAGTTGGGCAGCTGCAGGGTAAGCAGCTTGAGTAGATTCCTAGATCAACTCTGCCCCATTTCCTCTCCCTTGTTCCCCATGTCCAACATTCGGAGCTGTGGATCGCTCGCCTCTGGCAACCAAGCTCTTTTGAAAGCCAAGAGCGAACCTGTCAGCCACGATGATCGCATGAGGGAGCTAGAGCTCAAGAAACAGGAGGGGCCCAATCTGGTTTTGAAATGTTTTGAATGCTGTTAACTTAGAAGTTAATATATTTTCAAGTATATATACCCAAGATCCAATGAATATCCAAGAATGATTTCCTATGGCATCGCCTTATAGCCCATGGAACTTGTAAAACTATATATACATGCATACACGCATAATATATGAAAGCAAATGAAAGCATATGGAAGCAATGGTTTTGATTTGTTTTGATTCCTAGGGGTGCCAGGGATATCACCCCAAAAGCCTTGATCCCCATGTTGGCCTATATAGCTTGTCTGGAAAGGAGATGATGAAAGAGCTGGATGCCCTGAATCAGAGTATGGAGGATGCCGTTGCAGCTTCTTGACATACAATTAATGAGGGAGTTTGGGGGGCCACCATTGATGTCGGAGTAAAAACATGTGTATACAACCATGCATGCAGCTATATATATGCAGTTATCTAAATATATATATATATATGCACATGCACATGCATGCATACATATAATTAAATATGTATACATGCATATATATATATATTTAGTACTATAGTGCTCGTACACATATTCGGACCACCTGTTAACATACATGGTTATCCAAGCGCCAGAAATACTCAGGAAGCATCAACGTTGCCTGTCTCTTGGCTGGCATTTGAAGAACGGTATGGGACATGTCCAGCATTGTTAGATTGATTCAATGGAACTCGTTCTGCATGATTAAGATGTTCGCACACACACACACACATGTCAGGCAAACATGCATGTTGGGATAGCTTAGGCTAGTGAAGCTGAAATCCTGGCTTCTCAGAAGCGTTCCCCGCCCCCGTCGACCACTACTACCCCGGTGAAGCAGTTGCAGATAGCCAAGAAAGCTCGTGCTGAGCAGGACCACCAATGAATTTAACGAACACTGGGAATGACCACATTTGATGATTCTGCATGCTTATTATGTATGTTGATTTCCCGCCGAAGCGGAAAATTGAAATTATCACTTCCGTTGATCAATAACGATTGAAACATGTTGATCTAAATCCTGATGGTATTTGCATTATTTGGTGATATATATATATATATACATGAATCGAATATTACATGAGTCGAATATGTGTAATAGCCATGTATATTTTTCATACATGTGTTTTTATATTTATTATATGTATCACTTGATCATCATACATATTATGTATATGCATGCATGTATATATAATATATATATATGCATGCATATATATATATATACACATATATTTATATATGCATGTATATATATATATACATATACACATATTTTTCTTTATGTATTGTACTGTACCCGCATGGAGCTTTTCCCGTATTGATCACACCCTTGCCATCATGCCGTCAGGAGACAGTGAAAGTTGCAGCTGCTGCCAAGACAAAGCCTGTGCCATCTGCTGCCATCGATACCGGTGATGGTGGGAGCGGCGCTACTGAGGATTGGGCTGCTACAGCATCCCCATGCAGTAAATTAATGAACTATGCAATTCCCGATGGTCCCAGCGAATCAGCATATATTTCGATTTCTCATGAACACCGAATGTGAAACCATGTCACTTTAAATCCAAGATATCTGTGGGAACCCGGCTTTATTGAAGCCGTCATGTCTATTTCAAACAGGTACGGGACGTATGTTTTTCATTGTTTTTCTACACTTGATAAACGTGTAAATTCCTCCTGCATGCAATGTGCAGGAGCCCACTGTCAAGAGCTTGCAGCATCAGCTGGAGTCTGCAATGCAGATGATTGCCACATTGCAGTTGTCCCAGTCAGCCGCACCATCACCAGCAACCCATGGCACCCGAAGCACCCCGGGGTCAGCCAGCAAGACACCGTCTACGCCGGCTACTACTGCATCCAAAGTATCATCTACGAAGAGCAACAAGACTAAGGCCCAATCTGATTTAAGTAAAACAAACCAGGGCAGGGCTCCTGCATGAGAGGGTGTTGACTTTCGAAATCCAGGATAAACATGCGACATGATTCATCGAAAACATATCCGATCCATCTTATTTGATATCCCCAACCCATTCCATCGTCCCATGCGCATGGCGCCTGCTACTGCAGGAAGCAGAAGACACCGAGGAGAAAGAGAACCAAGAAGCCCTGAGCCGGTACAAGATGGTGGACGCCAGGTTAAGGCGCTTGTGCGAGCGCAAGCCCACAGGCAAGCTGAACGTGCCCCAGTCCATTCACGAACAATGGCTGCAAGTCGGAAAGCCACGGGACGAACTGCGTCAGCTCTTAGAGCAGCTTGAGTTTGACAAGGAGCCTACTTAAAAAAAAAATCGGGTGATGTCACATCGTATATATATATATATATATCATGGTTTTGAGGGGTGATGGTATATATATATAATTATATATATATATATATATCCATGCACATGCATGATGATTGGGTGTTGAACCCCGTATTGAACCTATCAAACTTTGGACCCATTTGCCTTTTTAAAGACGGACCCTCATGATTTGGGATGGAGCTTCAGGCCCCCACTTATTTATAAGCAGGATCTTTGCAAAGATTGGTTTATATTTCTTCAAACAAATTCCTGAACCTGCAGGAGAAGTTCGTACACAAGGTCACCAAGATGATCGAAATGAAGAAGGAAGACTCGCAGGAGGTTCTGAAAGGCTGGTTCACTCAAGAGCAAATGCGAGGTGAGTTGAAGTGGTCGGCGACACTCACCAGCACTTATAAAAAATATTAAAAAAAATGTCAATACAACCACATATATATATATATATATATACATGCATGTTCAATAGAATGCACATGCAGACATCCACTTGGTGATCTCGGCGTTGACGGTTGATCTCGGCCATGAACAATGTTCATTTTGCAATGAAGCTCAATGGCATTTTTTTGACCAGATTTCTCTTAAGTTTGAACTCATGTTTGGCTCGTCATGGAATTTCTTCCACAAATATAGTTTCATGATTAAATGAGCTTGATGTTCAAAAGTGTTTCTTCTTCAGCAGAGTGTCCGTTCTGGAAGGCTTGCCATCACTAGCACAGCTCAACGCTATGCGCAGGTTGTAGTCCATCCACCGATCGATTTTGTTAAGCATATGTAGGAATCTCAAAGAACACTGAGCTCCTTTCAGTGTACATGTATTATGTGATTTTTGGATCCCACCTCACATCCCCTATCAAGTCTTGCTCGCCCTTTCTTTGGATAAGGAGCTACATCAAAGATGCAGTCGCATACTGCAAGCAGCATGGGCTGGTTAAGAACCTTTGACCGCAACTGGCATGTGTGCCATGCACTGTGCACAAGCTAGGTTACTTCCACACGCGTTACATAGGTGCTTGCATCCATGGACATCTGCAAACATGTGTGCTTTACAAATTTATGTGCATGCAAACATGTGCATATGCATATGCATGCATAAATATGAAATACAGTCCTTTGACTTTGTGGTGATTGGAGGAACGACAAGTACTCCGCGAAGGTGTACAAGTACTTTGTCGAGTACTCCGACAAGGAAGCAACCAAACGCACGAAGACCGAGTTGGATCGACGCACTTCGACTGGGGAGGCAACTTATAGGGGCTGCATGACATGATGTTCATTTAGCCTCTGTTCGATCCTATAGGTTCCTCTGTCATATGGTTAGGAGAATCGACATACAAACATATAAAACAATATTGTTCTATACTTGCTCACACACATTGCCAACATTCAAAAGAACGTCGGATCGATAGATGCATCAATACATCTTATATATGTTTTCAATATATATATATATATATCGATATATATATATATATCATTCTATCTGTATCTATCCGTATCCATCTTAAATTTATACCATATATATCGATCTATCTATCTACATCTATTTGAATATATATTTTTATTAAAGATATATTGCTAATTCTATATTTCTATCTGTATCGATCTCTATATATATATATACATTGATCTTTTTCGACCTACATCTATACACCTATCTATATATATCAATATCAAATCAATTTTATCTATTTATATATATATATATTTATATCTGTACCTATATATATCTATATGTTTTATCTCTATATACAACTGTATAATATCTGCTTATCAATCCATCTATCTATCAAACTAGCTAACTATAATTAGTTATCTAACTATAGAAATAGCTATAATTAACTAGCTATAACTAGCTAACTATAACTATGTATATGTATGCAACTATAGCTGGATGTTAGGGCTGTTTCATTCCTCTTTGGCAATCAAACTATATTTTATATGCAACTACCCGTCCAGGCTGATACCGAAGTTGAACTGTCCGGTGACTTGGATTTCCGCCCCACCTCCGAAGATGCTTCCGGAGCAGTACCTGCTGACCAGGGTCACAAGGTGCTTTCGCCAGAGAATGGAGAAGCTTAATCTTCATTTAGCAACAAACTTAAGAAATTAATATTGAAATGTATTTATATATATATATATAGTGATGTTTCTTAAGACACCCAAACCTGCCATGCTCGAGTGCCAACCAATCCAAATCGTGCTGATTCTTAAACCAAGGAAAAGGAAGTTGAACAGAAATTTGCAGATGGGATGCTCACCAAGATGTCCAAGATCACGGACCTGATCTCTAAGCTGGATGATTTCGCTTCTGGGGAAGACAGTTCCCGAGTCAAGAAGTGCTCTAGCTTACCAATACCCATGGAAACCCAAACACAAAAAAAACACTTTAGTTTGTTTCAATCTTGGACCATGGCAACCACATTCCATGAAATCAAAAATTTATTTTCAAATCTTGGACCATGAAAACCTAATCACGGGAATGCCGATCTTGGAATTGCATTCACAGCCAGTTCCATTAGAAAAGTATGATCTCTTCCCGTGTTCATCCATGTGCCCAGGTGTGTGGATGCCTTGGAATCCAAGCTGAACTCCGCCCAGACTGCCTACGATGCGTTTGTCGCTACCAGGTCATCCATTGGGGAAGGCGAAAGGACCGAAGAGAATCTCAGCCATAAATGTTTACTTAGCTGGGATTTCACCAATTAAAGTTGTATTTCACATTTAAAGATTGGGACCTACATATTTCTATATACCGGGATCTGTGCAGAAATTTCCTTGGCCCAACATCTACACCATTTTTCTGAATGGGTTTATCAGGCCCCCTTTCCAAACAGGATCTTGTTTCTTTCTCGGGTTGAAACGTCCATCTATTCTTCAACCGAGCCCTCTCAGGAATAAGAAGGCAGTGAAGGATCGCATGAAGGATGCTATGGAGAAGCTGCTAGTCTTGAAATTTTGGGTCAGCTGGGTTCATCAGGATATCGGTCTGTTCCCATCAAGTGTGGTTTCTTTTGAGAAACAAAATCATGGGGTGAATATATATATATATATAGATCTATATATATATAGATCGATATAGATAGACAGTTAGATTTTTATGTATATATATGATATGGGTAGATCAACATAGATCAACACATATATGATAGATAGACATACAGATGGATGAATACATATAGGTTAGATAGATGGATGAATAAATACATAAGTAGAAAGAAACAAACAATAATCCAATAGATTCACAAAAATATTGATATATTATATATATTGATACAAATAGATGGAAAATGATAGTCATAAACATAAACATATATATATATATGATATATGACATACATGTGTGATCCATGCATGTGCACATCTGATGCACAGTGATTGTATAGGATCCCCAGCTGAACTCCCAAAAATTTGAATGTAAATATCTTAATTATCTTAATTGCTTTTATTTACCTATAGCTATAGCTGTTACCCTTCCAGCACTCAGAGCCCACTCCCCACAAAGGGCGTCTGCGTTGGCGTCCGCCGAAGCCCAAGCGAAGACTCTTACCTGCATCCAGTTCAGGTTGCACGGGTGGCAAGTGCTGGCAACCCCCCTTGGTGCACTCAAGTTTCTTATAAACAAATATATTTGGATTTGGATGGGGGCCAACCTCTGTTCCCTTACCTCAAGATCATGTTGATATTAGTTGGCCTTTCATATCTGCATATTTGAAAACCAAGGGCTTTGGAGAAGTCTTTGAAAAAGAAGAAGAAGGATGCTGCCGAAGCTGATGGATCGTGAAACCATATGTTTTGGTTTGGCCGGCACTGCGGCGAGAAGTGGGGGCACATGTGTGTGTAACACGTGTGCACAATCTATGCAACTTTAATCGGTCAGCATGGCTTTAAAATTTTGACTTGACCGGATTTTGTTGGTGCTTACATGCAATGCCATAGACCCAGAGTTGGCAATGAGCTATGCAAATATGTCCAGCCTGGAAAGGCATGTGCTTTGGGAACGCTTTGACTCACGCCCAGTGAAAAAAAACATGTTGCTATAAGTGGCTGGCTGCATTCGAATTATTTGTGGGTGATGCCGCCAGGGCAATTTGTAGCCATTCACAAGTTATGAAATTGAACCTGCCAGCATGCCCCGCCACATGCACTACCCCAATGCCTCCAAATGCTCTTGGATCACCGCGCCATGCCAGGTCAGGAACCTGAGCTCCACGGCTTCGCCAGAATGGTCGGGAATGGCGCTGGGGATCCCAGCTTAGCAGACCGGGGTTGAGGTGTGACACCACAAAATGTTGGAAATGAAAAACAATTTCACTGATATCAGTGCATGTTACTAAGAAACGATCTATATGTTCTGCTTTGCCATTTCAATATCAAGAGGCCCGGCGATTAATTAGTACTGCATCTTAATTAGGATGGAATTCACCTATGGCGTTCAAACGAACCTCTAGCATCGTTATCTATGAGGAGCTCCAAGATCTTCTGACATATGACTGCCCATTCACAGGGGAGAAAAGATGTCCTCCATGTTGCAATATCCCTTCGACCCATAGCTGCAATTAAGGTACATATCCTTTCATATTTTGTGATTTGGTTTGGAAATTATTGCGTTGGTGATGTTACCCCAAAAGGATGATTATTTTTTATTGCACTGGATTTGGAATTTACATCAAGGAAGTCTCGGAAGATTGACCCATGGAACCACCAGCCCAGCAGTGCAATGACACCTAGGGTTTCAGATGAGAAGCCATCGGTCATTTGGTCCAATTTCATTTTTCATTTATTTGTTTTTGGGGAGTTACCTCATAGATCAAAATACATATATATATATATATGCACATGCATGTATACTTATCCATGGGTGTCCCAGGTGATGCTTCCAATAATAAATGGGTTCCCTGTAAATTAATTTCAATGGGTGTCCCTGTAAATATATAATGTGTTTTTTTGCGAACAGGGTGTTTGTAGACCAGGTCAGCGTCAACGTGGTCAAAACTGCAGATAGTGTTTTACACACTGGTGGATCCCCACTTGTCGACCTTTCCCTAGAGCCAACTGAAAATTTGGAGAAAAGACATGTTGAATTTCTCAAACATGGCATTTGTGTCTCGTATTTATCTTTTCCTCAGAGGCAAAAAGCCACTGCCGGTACAGTCCTTCAGAGGTGTCTTGCTGAAGTCACCAAATTCAGAAACCGGATGGGCCGGAAATTATGTGTGTACAAGCTGGGTCTGACTTCAAACCCAGTGCTGCGATTTGATTTTTACAAAGATGCAAATTACACACACATGTCTTTGCTGCACGTTTCTCCCAATTTGGGATTGTGTCAAATGCTTGAAGCAGCCCTGATTGCCTCGAACATGTCAGAACGGGAATGTCGAAACCAAAGAACTGGTGGAGAGGGCCCCCCTTCTAGTGAAGAAGAGCCCTTTCATTTTGTTTACGTCGTTGGGGCACGGGCAGACCAGCTGAAACGAATTCGTTAGCTGAAGGTGCAATTTTTGCACATTGCTCTCTTACGCTTTTAAATTCGCAGTGTGACCGGACATGACTCGGCATTGGGAAATGTGCTTGGGTTTTCTATGGGCTTCTGGCCTAGAGCTTCAAACATGTTGTATAGAAACATGTTTTTTTCAAAGAAAGAATGTGTCAACCACCTCATATACATTTTGAGGTTTGATGTTCAGATTCAAAGAGTTTTTTGTTGGTAATTGCTTCCACACCGTTATCCCAATTTAATCCCACTGGGCCAGTGCTATCTTGACCCCGCTTGCATTGAGGTCGCTTGCAGCGACGCCATTCGTCAGGCCAGGGTGACCAGGGTGAAATCAAAGGGGATCTCTAGTCTGGCAAGAGTGAATTTGAAACGGAGCGAAAGTGGATCACATTCAGTTTTCAGAAAGTTTGGCCAATCGCTGGACATCAAGATATCGAAGACTGATTTGGTATCCAAGAAGGACTTTCCCTATGTTCCGTTCAAAACGTGGCTAAGACACCTTGTGGAAATAGATCAACTTGATCAGCTGGTGGGCGTGAAGGATGTTTCTGACATGAAGCGCCTTTTATCTACATTCTGGTCTCGCTTTGGGGCTCTCAATCCCGAACATTTGATCTGTTCCCGGGATGACCCTGGCTTCAACAAGGAGATGTGCATACCAGTGCTTTACCACGGTGATGAAGGGAGAGGCCTGAAAAAAAAACAATTGATGGTGTTGTCTACTCATGGTGTTCTTGGGAGAGGTTCGCACAAGAGCAATTCCAATGACACCCATGATCCTCATGGACCTCTTTGCCTCAACATGATTGGCAACACTTGGTTGACACATTTTTTGCAGTGTGTTCTTCCGATCGGCCTGTACAACGAAACACCAGAAGACTTTTACAAAATGTTGGATATTCAGGCGAAAGAATTTGAAGAGCTCTTCTGGAAGGGTGTGGACATCAACAACCAACGCTTCTTTGTATGCTGTATTGGCGTGAAGGGTGATGCCCCGTTCCTAGCGAAGTCTGGCATGTTCCTCAGGTCCTTTTCGAGGAGACCCACTCGTGCTAGCAGTCGTACGGCAGCAGCTGGAGTTTGCCATTTATGTTGTGCTGGAAAAGAAGATTATGAGGTTGATGTGCCATTTGAGGAGTATGGCGCGCTTTCCCCAGTTTGGCTGCAGACTTGTGGGGTGCTGAAGCCCTACTTGGAGAGGTCCCCGTTGCTACAAATTCCGTCAGAAGCTTCAGGCACTACTGAGAAGCTGTGGAACTTCGACTTGTTTCACAACTGGCATTCTGGAATGGGAAAATACTTTTCGAGTTCTGCGGTTGTTGTATGCCTAGAGTTGGTCCAGGACAGTATTGAAGGGGCTTTCGCCCAACTCACTGCGGATTTCAGGGTATACTGCACTAGAAATCATGAGAGCCCGTACCACAAGAAGTTGACTTCAACTATGTTCGGGGTCAACCAATCCTTCTTGGACTGGCCTGATGCTGCATGGAGCAAGGGTGATTTCACCAGGCTCATTTGCAAGTGGTTTGAAGATTGGTGCCGAAGACATGTTGATGAAAAAACGGATGACCCGCTGTACTTGAAGTGTGTTGCTTTGGTTTGGGTGTTCAATCAATTTTGATTTGAGTTTGTTCTGGTTTGGGGGTGATATTTCCACAACGGTTGTGTATGGTTTTTCTATCTCACCTGCTGCGTGTTGTGTTGAGGCTGAAGCCGTGAAGGCCATCAACTTGTGTCTATCAGGACTCTATCGAAGTGGGGTTTTCATTCCAAGTGACCAAGCTGCCCAAATCGCTGATCAAGGTTTGACCTTCTTGCGTTTGTATGCTGAGATGGCCAGAATGGCCTACTCAAGAGGTCAGCGGAGGTTCCCTTTGGTGCCCAAGGGCCATTACTTACACCACACGTTTCTGAGTTTGTGGTACGAAGCCCAAGGGCATCAGTGGTGCACGTCGCCGCTGATTTATGCGGTACAAATGCAGGAGGACTATATCGGTAAACCGAGCCGATTGGCCCGCAGAGTAAGTTCCAAAACTACAAGTTTAAGAGTTCTCCAGAGAAGTTTCTTAGCAATCCGCAACGCTCTGGGGTGGGGCGCTGATGCATAGCATGTGTTGCTACAAATAATTAAATGACTGGCACTTGGGATCTTTTTGTTTAAACTAAAACTATACAAAGATCATTAAGATCATTACAAATTATATAAGGTCCCCATCATAGTCCACCACTTGTCCAGGCCCAAGGTCCAGACACTAGCTCCAGGGGTAGGAAGAGGATGTCAGCCAGCGGCAACGAAAGCGGGCGGTGGAAAGGGATGAGGATGGATGATGGATATACCAGGTACCATGGAAACAAAGAAATCCAATGATGATATAATTTATATTATTGGTTAATCCCTTTTGTTTCATGTTGACATTTTCTTGAAGGTCACCAACCCATTAGATAAGGGATGTTATCATCACCTATATAACCACAAAAACACAAACAGGGTTTTCCACATGGAAACCTAACTTTTCCGGGTCACAAGATAAAACCTTGAATTTTCATGGTTTTGAGGGGTGATGGTATATATATAGATATCATGATATATCCATAGAATACTATAGATATCTATAGACTACTATTGGGCCTCTCCCCGGCCAGTTGGGTTTGTTGGCTCAGAAAACACCACCTTGTAGGATTAAGACCCCTTATAATTAGACCCGGAACCCGGGTACCGCCAGTTTATCAACACATCTCTAAAAATGATGCCCCTCCTTATAAAATGGCAACTCCAATTTACCATCCTTATAAATTGGCAATTTTTTAAGGTTATAAAATGGCAATTGTGGTGTAGCGTTCAGTCAAAATGGAACCTTATGTCATTTTATAAGGAATATATGAGTTTGCATTGTTTCTAAATTGAATTTAAAGTTTCTTATAAAATGTGAGTCCTGTACACTCCACAGAATGACATGGAATTATCATTTTACAAGAGGTACCTGCTCCAAACTTTTATCAAATTCGTATACTAGGTCAATCTAACAGGTTAAAGATGAACCATCATTTTGTGAGGGTGTTGGTTAAAAAAAGTAATTCATAAATCAAATGTTTGTGGCAGTTTATAAAATGGCCATTGTTTACATCGCATCAAACATGAACACGCTCTGGTTATAAACATGTTTGACCACCCCTAAAAAAGTGGGGACCTTATAAAAACACCCCAAACCACCCCGCGGTCACCAAAGCCACCAAGTCACTGGGAAGATCCGTGAGCACCACTGGCTGCGACATGGAGACATAGTCTCGCAGAAACCTCAGCGATTTCAGGGAAGACAGCCACATGTTTGTTTCCTTGGCGATTCCATTGTGGCGAAGCCAATGCCAAGAGACCGAGAGTTGGGATGGGTTCAACTGGGATCCGGGAAGAATGATCCATTCAATCATTCATATATATAAAATATAATATATATATATAATATAATATAATATATATATATATGTATATATAATATATATGTATACTGTAATATATACTGTAATATGAAATCATGTGTAAACAAATAGCATTAAAATCATTAAACAACTACCATTTAAAGAGATGGTTTCAAGGGATGGCCGTGGATCTGGCTGGACCTGCTCCGGCTAAAAAAAGTGGGACCCGAAGCAGCTGATGTTCTTTAATTACAAGTGCATATATATATATATATCATATATTAGCATATAGAAATATGATGAAATATGATATTATATATCGTATATCATATATATATATATGTATATTCATTCATGTATCATATAAGTGTAACGTATTTGTCATATATGTATCATAGGTATCACCTCGATTTGAGCGCAGTCCGACTGGAGTTTTGATCGCCAGAGCGCTTCAAGTTGTTGGTATATACATAGATGGTGGGTGGTGAACATATGTGAAAATCATGTTTCTTCTATTCTCTCCACTCTTTAGTAGGAGGTGCAATTCCCTCAGGACAGTTCTTGATTTGTTTCCAGTGGTTCCGCATGTTGGTACTAGTTGTATTATCAGCCGTCCGCACCAAATAAATTGACTGATTACCCAAAGTAAAACCTCCATAAAATGTTCATAAATTAACAGAAATAACAAAAACAACAAACACACTTCACCAGTTGCTTGGTTCAACTTCCATCCTTATCCCTTTATGGCTGAAAAACTTGTCCGCTCCAAGCAGCTCCAAAGCGGTGACATCTTCAAAGCGCCGCCGCGGAATGACCGGAGGCAGCCAGAAGTCCCGGATGTTTGAGGCCAAACGGGCCTTCTTCTCTCTGTCCATGGCATCCATGGCATCCATGGCCCATGGCATCCATGGCGAAATGATAAACACTATAAGGGGGTTGATTCCTAATGGCTAGTATATCTATAGTATTTATATGTATGTCATTATAAACAGAAATTTAATTATAATCCAACATATTAGATATGAGATAAGTGAGATAAGTATTTATAATGGTTGATCTATAGCGATAGTTGTCTACAAGGACATTTAGATAATCCACCATTAAAAAAAGGTTTGGACTTAACTTGATCATTCGTGAGAAAAAATTGGCCAATGATCCCAACTTGATCAAAAAGCCCCTGTGAGCTCCGAAGATTCAGGGCATCGGCTGAATCATGTCCTTTTGCTAAAAAAGTGGGCCGGGAGCTGGTATACCATCTATCATCATTTACCCTTTGGTTATTTAACATAGCCATGGAACATGGCCCATTTATAGATGATTTTCCCATTAAAACCTCCATTTATAAGGGATTTTCCATGGCTATGTTAAATAACCAGATGGTACCTGTTACAGGGATAAACAAAGCCCTCTATTAACCAACCAACCAATGGGAAAAGGATGGCCATGTTGCAACCCCAGTCGCCTTACTGAGAACTTCATGGACTGATGCCTGACACGGGACATGCGAGGCCATGGCATACATGGCTGCCACAGTGTCAGTCTAGGAACATGGCTGAAACAACTGATTTAATGGTTTTTAGCATGGGATAATGATGGTTAATAATGGTTAATAATGGTTAATAATGGTTATACAAGTTATATCTATTCATATTCCACACATGTAAGCTGTATTCAAGTCCCTTGAGTTTGTTTGTGATATGACATGGATAGCAAACAAAACCATCGCTGCATAAACGTATAGTAATCGTACCCACACCATACAACATATAGATCATCTACAGTAAATGATGTAAGTTTAGATATATGGGTATGGATCAATACCTATTATATAATACCATTTTTAGGGGTATGAACATCCATTTACCAGCTATTTTGATGTTCACCAGGGGTACAAGGTTTTGACACACTGCCATATGTCAACACACATTTTTCTCAAAGTCAAATCTGGCTCCATGGGCTCCATGTTTAGATCCAGAGATCACCGAGGCACCAAAACGGGCTGCCCATCCAGCTGCGCACTGGGGCCACACCTGCGAATTTTTGTGGAGTTACTGTGGATGGGCCAGCGATCTCCGAATCACCAGTTGGTAAGTGGTAAACATCCCATTATTTATAGGTTTTCTACCATCCAAGGTGGTGCACGCTGGCCCATCCACATGAACATTTTACAAGCGAAAAGTAGGGCTACATGGACAAACAAATGGATAATCATGGAAATCAATGGTGAATTGCGTGGAAAAAAGTGGGGATACCATGGGGATTTAATGTATCCCATCCCCTGATGAGATGGGAACCATATAGGATCTGGGATATTATGGGATAGTGCTGGTGTAATGACCAGCCATGGGGATGCTATGGGGGATATAACCAACAATGTGAAGTGTCACAAAGAACGGGGGATATACACCCCAAGATCACCCAAGAGTTGAGTGTTTAAGGGGAACATGATGAACAACAATTGGCTTCTGAGGTACCACATTTTGAGACGCCCGTATTTCGGGGTAAGAGCACTGGGTTTTCTTATAGTTTTTTTTCCCTAGGCCCATCCAAGGATTGTGGAGAGGATTGGATTGTTTGTGATCTTACGCCATTCACATATTGCGGGTCAACGAGTTTGGGAAAAAAAAAGCACAACTTTGAATCTAGGTGCTTCTTCCTGGGTGCCCTTTGGGCACCCAGATCTATCAGTTGCTGATTTTCTTCATCAACTGAGGCTCCGACCGATGGTGGCAAGCCGCCCGATCTAAGTACCTGACAATTTTTTTTCAGCCGATCCATCAGGGATCGCCATGGATCCAGGCCCGATGGGGGCCCATAAATAAATGTATGACGCTAGTGGTCAAGTGGTCAAGCATCGGAGGCATTTGGATCCATATGGTGTTGTGAAATCCCCATTCTTTGTTGGTCAGATCTCAATTATGGTTGGTATCTCAGAGCTACTGAGTCTGTCTTGATGCTTAAATCTCATTGATTTGATGGTGAAATCCCAGTAGTTGGTGAAGTGAACTCTGCCATGTTCATCACCTTTTTATCGATCAAATCACATGACATCCCCATTAAAAAATGCCCCCAAAATCCCCATGTTTCTTGGCGCACGGCAGCAGAGGTCCCGAGTCCGGCAGGCCAGGCACTACCGCAGACCTGGGGATAAAGGGGAGTATTAAAGGGATAATAATATAACAATAATAATGGATATTAATCAATAATATTATGATTATTGTAATAGGTGATAATAATATAACAATAATAATAGGGAGTATTAAAGGGAGTATTAATCATTAAACAATAATAACAATTACCATCATATGATGGATATATCGTGAATATATTATGAGATGTATGTATATATATATATACATATACCGATATAATGATTGTTCATGATATCTATCAGGTGGTTTTGGTAAACTCTGAGTTTAGCTCCAATTGGCTCTCCATTTATGTGGACACCCATGGCTCTATTGGCTGCTCTAAATCACCGCTCATAGAATATCTAGTAGTGGGGATTTAATATGATTTAATAGGCTGTGTATATAATGTATATATAATTATAGTAATTATAGATATAATAAATCATACAAACAATAATGGGTATATATTATACTATCATATAATGGGATATAATGAGTACATCACAAGGATATCATGGGGATAATTCAGCAGCAGCAGCAAACATGGAGACTCTGTCAAACAC